AAAAAAAAAAAAAAAAATGACAGTCATTGGGAAGTTATGCATAATGCATATACGCATATATCATGATCATTATATAAGCATTCATGAACTCAGATTCTAAGTAGATGTACTAAGCATGTCAGCAGAAGATCTAATGTGTTCTGATATCTCAAGACCACCAACTTTCTCCTTGATGCCAAACTTACCAGTGAGCTCTCGCCTGCCTGCTCATCCCTCAAAGCCCTTGCCTCTGGACCTGCTCTGCCCTGGACGGGCCTCCTAGGAGCCCTCCTGCCTCCTTCCTTCCTCATTCAGGCCTCTGCTTGAATGTCCGTGGCCACTTTCATAGACCAGCAACCCATACCTTGTCTAGCCCCTTACCTTGCTTTATTTTGCTTTGTAACATGTAGCTCTGCACCTGAAACCATTCTCTAAGCATGTTCATTTATGCATTTCTTCTGTCTCCCCCTGGAAAGGAAGCTTTGTAAGACAGGACTTTGTTCTCCCCCTGGTACCCAGAGCCTGACCAGTACCTGGCACATAGTAAGTGCTGAAAGTACATTGGCTTCTTACAGTGGAGAATCCCAGGACTCTTATCCGCAGAACATGAATGTTGCCAGGGGAAAATCCCACCCCAAAATCAGAACACTGATATTTGGGGCCAAGTATAAGGCAGCTTTTCAATAGTTAAAATAATGCTATAAAATAAAGGGAGGACTCAGAATACAAAACAGACCTCTTAGAAATCAAAGATCAGAAGCCAAAGACCAAAAGCTGCCTGAATAGTGGAACAGATAAAGAGCTGGGCAAGAGGAAAATCTAAGGATGGGTCACAGAGGTCCCTGGTCAGACTACCCGAAACTCTAAAGAAAGGATCGGGCAAAGGCGAGGAAGACAGAGAAAATTCCTAGCTTTGCAGGGCATGCCCCCAAGATGGACAGCGTCCCTAACGTCCCACATATGGCTCAAAAGGGCCTGCGAAAGCGCCTTATTGGGAAATATCAGGCCAAAAATGAAGGATAGACCCTAAAACATTCCCGAGGCAAACTTCGGCTTGCACACCAAGGATCTGGAGCCAGAGGGCGCCAGCTTTTCCGACAGCACTGAATACTAGAATAAAACACGGCCCTTACGTTAGAGGACTAACCACGTCCCACCTTTAATTTTACGTGGTGCAGAAGCCCCTTTGATGGCCAGGCCCTAGATCTGGTAAGCAGCTCAGACCCAAGGCTCACAAGGCAGGACCCATGCATATGTCTGGGACTGCACAGAGAGATTATGGAGGGGAGTGGGAAGGGAGATGATGCTAATGCCATTTATGGATGATATCCCTTCAAAAATATTTGCTACCCAGGTGAAGAGCTTTCATCTGACAAGATCTTCCTATACAGACAAGGACACTGCCGCTCAGAGAAGTCCAGTAACCTGCCTGAGGCCTCACCAGGGGGCGGGAGGGCCCAGGATCAGCCCCACACCTGCTGCCTCCAGCTGGCCCGGACCCAGCAGACTCCGGGCTGACCGCTGACCTCTGGCGGGGACACGTCCCTCGAGACTGTGGTGCGAGGCCCAGACCNCCCTGGCTGTCCTGAGGCCCTGGTTCAACAATCCCACTGTGCGTGGTCAGGGCCAGAAGGGACCTCACCAGACTATTACCTTGCAGAGGACAAAACAAGGGCCCAGAGAAGAGGGCTGAGGGGATGGAGAAGGCTAGACCTATGCTGTCTCTGCTCAAACTCTGCAGGTTTAGCCTCTAAATCAACCCACGTTCGTGGCACTCCTGTTCCCATGTAAAGCCCATGCAGCAGGCTCAGAGGCAGGTTAACACCGACTCGTGTGTCAGATTCCACCACATGCCAGGGTTGCAGAGATGCCTAGCAAGGGCTGCCTTGTTTAAATCTAACACCCCTATTCCTCAAATTTCCTGGCCCCCAGGAGTTTATGTGCAGTCAAGAGCCTCAGTTAGGAAGGAAAACGGTCACACACATGGCCAGAAGGGGCTGTGTCCAAAGTTCCTGGTGGGAACAAGGGATGTACATGTGGGGACATCTTCCTCCAGAACCTGCCTCACGGTGGGAGGACAGGGCTACTCAGAGAAGGAAGCCCTGCATGGCAATGACCCTGACTGGGGCCTACATACCACAGCATGTCATTCAGGTCCTTGGACATCATCCACGCCAGGTCGAACATCACCATGGCTGACTGCAAGAAAGAGAAGCCTGAGGCCAGGGCCAGCCATGCTTATAGGAGGGCAGGCCACACAGCTGGGCCAAACCTGGGCCACCTGTAGATGGTCTGCCTGGCTGGGGTGGATTCCAGGGGAGACTGAGGGAGGAAGAAGGCAAGTGACCCTACTGTGTCTTCTGCTAACTAGTACACCGTCATGCCACAAGGGAGGCTGCAGCCCTGTGCCGGGGCCTCTGCACATCTCACTGGGTGCCTCAGTGTTGCCTGAGGGAGGCTCTGGAGCCAGGAGGTTGGGGACCCCACCGTCTGCATTACTCTATGTCCATGTGCAGATCCTGGCTGCCTGGTGGCTTCGCACATTTCCAGGAAGGCCAGGTGAGGCAAGGCCTTGGCCCGTTACCTGGGCATTACGGAGGGCGGAGCCTCAGGACCCCCTGCGAGGAAGGTCCCTCTTGCAGGGCTGTCCGTGGATGGAGGCCTGCAGCTCCCTCTGAGCAGAGGGTACAGGTTTCCATAGGAGGCAGGGAGGGGGATCAGTGTCTCACCAGAACTCTGTGAAGTCCTGTTAGCTGTGAGATGCTGGGCAGCCTGTCAGAGAGGATTGCCAAGAGAACCATCCCTGTATCTGGAGGGAGCCCAGCATCCACTGTCCCACCCACCACACCCACTGTGTAGAATCTTCCATTCGCCAGGGCAGAGCAGAGGGCAAAAAGATGACCCTTCAAAGGACAATGGGACCTTGACAGAGAAAGGGATTCTGGCAATATGGGGCTCAGAGTTCACGGCCCCAGGCCAAATTCTAAGACTAAACACAGGATGTTGAACTGGAGACCGATTTTCTAGGGCTCCTTGAAGCCCTGTGCTCTGCTCACACTACCAGGAGGTTTCCCATATGAATTCTGTTCCATGACGCACACGCAGCGGGGGGCCTTTATAATTCTGGAGTTTTATCTTCTTGCACAGAGACTAATAAAGACCTGCTGCATATTTTTGATGATGAACAAAAATAACCGTTGAGACCTCGTGGGTCTGCAGGCGGATCCCAGCAATGGCCTCTGACATGACGATTGCTCTCTTCCTTTTCCGGAGGAGTTTAAAGCTCAAGCAGGCTGCACCACCTCCCCAAGGTGGAAGCAGTGGGGCTCAGATTCAAACCAGGCTTCTGTGGCTCTAAAACCTGTCCTTCCTCCTGTTTCAGGACACTGACCCCCAGAGCCAGAACTTTATGGTGAAATACCCCTGTCGCGCTTACCGATGTCCCATGGTATTCATACTGCTCATAGTCAAAGAGGATGTCCCTTCTGCAATGACATAAGATGTGGGTCTTCAATAGGAAGCAGTACAAGAAGACAAAACACTTGGAAAATGCTCAAACTTGAGGTAATCAAAGAAATGCAGAGTAAGTCATGGTGCTCTTTTTTCACTTACAGACTTTCTTGGAGCGTATAATGTATAATGCTGGGAAAGGTGTAATTTTGACACAGATTACTTGTGGCAATGGAAGATGTAAAATATCACAGACCCAGAATGCCACTTCTAAGAAGTTATCCCAAGAGAACAAGTCAGAGGAATAAGCAGGACAGGACTCGCTATGTCCACAAAGTTGCTCACTGCAGCCTTGTTATCATGGCAGAGACACCGGAAGTAACCCCCAGCCGAAAGACAGGGAGTGGTGAATTAAGTACTATGCAGGTTATAAAGGCTGTTCAGAACTACCTAAAATAATTATATTAAGTGAAAAAATGCAAAATTAGGTCCATATTATGATCACATAAAATATGCACAAGTATGAATAACCCAGGAAAATTGATACAAAATTTTCTCTTCCCACTAGTGAGAGTGGATTATATTCACTTTTCTTTCCTTGAACTTCCCACACTGGTTTTGCACTGTCCTTCCAAGCACACCTCTTCAGCTGGACTAGCAGAGACCTTGAAGGACTCGGTCCAGCAAGGAATTCTCAGCTCCAGGGCACGGCTGCATGTTCATCTCAAGCTAGAATAACCTTTCCCAATAGTTTTATTTCAGAGCACTCCAATTTGTTAACTTGCAGCATGAAGAGGAATTATGGATACCTTGGTTTCCTTTTCATATACTTTATTCTATGAAATGTTTTACACTATTGCCATCTATCCCATTTTTAAAGAACTTGCAAATGAAAGTATGTATGTTTGGAAAACTTGGAAGAACCAGAGCCTGTCACCCCTGACAGCATGTATTTGAGAGACCTCCGCACCCAGTCCTGTCACTCATGGGACCAGAGGGCAACAGAGGGGACCCAGAGCTCTTTTCCAATGCAGGGGCTACATCCTCACTCCTGCAGCCACTGGCCCAGAGGCTCTAAACTAAAAGAATTGTGGAAAAATATGCATGCAGCCTCCAGACAGGCCCCGCAGGGGCAGCGGGCGCCGCCTGAAGCGCACACTCACCTCCGGGCCTCCCACTCTCTCCGCTCCCTCCTCTTCATGGTTCGCTCTGCTGCCTCCTGGCGGGGGACAAAGAGAGCAAGACGTTGAGCAGATGAGCCAGGGACTTATCCCCACAGCCCAAGAAGCCTCCCACTGGGTGGAAGCCATTGGCTGCAGCCCCCTGAGGGAACACGTGGGTTATTTATCCCATGCCCCGGGTGCAGCCTGCACTGGAGAAGGGAGAGGCTGGGGCAGGGGCTGGCCAGGAGCCCCCAGGCCCACTGGCACCATGGACAGGAGTGGATGCTGTCCCACTGCCTGCTCAGCCCACAGCTGCCTCACGCTAGCTTCTCCACCAGACTAGGAGTAATGTTTCTTACATGCTGCCACATGCCAGTGACTATTGTAGTTTTGCAGCTGCGGTCTTCTTTAACTCTCACAGCAAAGGCATGAGGCAGTAAGGCAGTTTTAAAGTCCATGGCCCAAGACTTCTGGGCTGGAAACATAGAAACGTATTTTTCCCCGCATGTCCACTACATATACCTAAAAACCCTAACGTTATATATAAAACAAACAAAAGTAGACTTTGAAAGGTAGAGAGAAAGGCCGATAAGTACCCTGGGTTTTCTTTTTGGCCCATACAGTCCAGACTTAAATCTGAAAGAGCTGGCAACCTTGGAAGACTGACAGGTACACAGAAAAAACTCCCCCCAAAAAACCAAAGGACCAAGAAGGAAAAGCCTCAAAGACAGGAAATTTTTGGACAATAACTGCTCTACTCTAGCCACTACCACCAAAAACACTTCAGCCCCATCCCTATCCACCTAGCAAAGGATGAGTGGGAGCCTAGATTCCCACCCGGGTGAGTGCCTCGCACCTGTTACACCCCCACCTTCCATGTACAACACCTCCCAACACCCACACAGGGGTGGTACATCAAAGGAGGTTAATTAAGTAAGGAGCCTAGATCTTCCTTGCCCAGAGGTAATAGGGAGCCAGTCCCTTCAGGGGTTAAGAGAGGTCAAGTAGGGAACGTGAACTTCTTACTTCCAGCTGGCTATAAAGAGGCCATGCTGCCCATCCTTTCCTTTGCCAGAATGGCATCAGAGAAAGCAGACGAGCAGGTTTGAGTAAGACCCAGAGTCTCATAATGTAGTACAAAAATGTCCAGGTTTCATTGGAAAGTCACTCATCGTACCAAGAAACTGAAAGATCTCAAACTAAACACAAAAGAAGCAAATCCATAGGTGCTAACACCTGTGACAGAGATGATAAAGATGTCATCTTTATCAAGATGTCATCAAGATGATAGAGACATCAGAATTATCTAAGATTTTAAAGCAGCCATCATAAAAATGCCTCAGCAAGCAATTACAAACACACTTGAAACAAATGAAAAAATAAAATAGGAAGCCTCAGCAAAGAAATAGAAGACATAAAGGAAAACCAAACAGAAATTTACAGCTGAAAAATACAGTGACCAAAATATAAACTCAGTGGATGGGCTCAAGAGCAGAATGGAGGGACAGAGCAAAGAACCAGCAGTGAATGAGCAAACACAATAGTAGAAATTACCTGCCTACTCTGATCAACAGAGAGAAAACAAGACTGGAAAACAGATCCAAGAAGCTGACTAAATTCTAAATAGGATATATCCAAAGAAATCCACACCAAGACACATCATATTTAAACTCTGAACACTGATGACAAAAAATTTAAAAACTTCAAAAACAGCAATAGAAAAATAACACCTTACCTACAGGGGAAAAATTATTCAAATGGCAGCAGATTTCTAATAATAAACTATGTGGAGGCCAGAGGAAGTGGCACAATATTTTTCAAGTGTTGAAAAAAAAGGACTGTTACCTCCAAATTCTACACATGGTGAACATATCTTTCAGGAATAAAGGGAAAATCAAGAAATTTTCAAAAAAGGAAAACTTAAGAGAATTTTTTGCCCACAGATCTCCTCTTAAAAAGTGGTTAAAGAAGGTTCTATGAAAAGAAATAAATGACAAAAGAACAAATCTTAGAACATCAGGATGGAAGAAAAAATGCTAAGCAAAAATTGGGTAAATACAATAGGCTTTCCTTATCTTCTTAAGTTTTGTAATTATGTTTGATACTTGAAGCAAGAATTATACCACTGTATGATGCAGTCCTAAATGTACATGGAAGAAATATTTAAGAAAATTATATTATAAACAAGGAAGAGTAAAGGACATAAAAGAAAGTATCTCTACATTTGACTCTACTAGTAAAATGACAATACCAGTAGGTTGTTATAAGTTATGGGTATATAATATAATACCTGGAGCAACCACTAAAAAATTTGTTCAAGAAGATACACCTAGAAACTATACATAAACCAAGATGGAAATCTTAAAACAAAACAACTACAAAGAACAAGTGAAAAGCAAAAGAAACAAAAAAGAGAAAATTAAATGCCAGACTTAAGCCCTAACATATCAATAACTAAAATGAATGCAAATAGTCTAAATCCACTAATTTAACAACAGAAATTGGCTTAAAAAACCTGATTAAAAGCATGACCCAGCTCTATGCTGTTTAAAGAAACTCAGTACATACATGATGATATAGGCAGGTGGAAAGTAAAAGAATGGGAAAAGACAAAGCAAACAAACATTAATCAAAGGCAAACAGGAGTGGCAATATTATTATCAGTAATATCATCAAAAAATACAATTATCAGATAATACTGATTATTACCAGTATTACTATCAGATTATTATTCAGAGCAAAGAAAACTACCAGTGCCGTTATATAATGATGAAAAGGTTATGCCACCAAAAGCCATCCTAAATGTGTGTACCAAACAACAGAGCTGTAAAATATGCGAAGCAAAAAACTGATAAAAGTGAAAAGAGAAACAAACAAATTTACAATTTTAGTTGGAGGCTTTAACACCTCTTTTTCAAGAATTAATAGAACAGCTAGACAGAAAAGCAATGAGGAAATAGAAGAACTCAACACCATTATCTAATTCCACCACCTAAATACATATATAATAATAGGTAAATATCTACCTAATTGACATTTATAGAACATGCTACCCAATAGCAGCAGAATACACATTCTTCTCAAGTGTTCCAGAACATGTATCAAAATAGATAATATCCTGGGCAACAAAACAAATCTTGGCATTTTAAAGGAACTGAAATCAGAGTATACTCTCTAACAACATAATCAAACTAGAAATCAACAATCAAATAGGAAAATTTCCAAACACTTGAAAACTAACCAGCTGATACTTTGAAATAATCCATGGGTCAAAGAGGAAATCCCGAGGGAAATTTTTAAAAAATTCACTGAAAGGAATGAAAGTGAAAATAAATATATCAAAATGTATGGGAAAGAGATTAAATTAAAATTAAATAAAGACTAAATGCTAAAGGAGGGTTAATAGGGAAATTTATAGCACTAAACTTCAAGAACCAGAAGAGGAAAATAAACCAAAGGAAGCATAAGAAACAATAAGGAGGAAACTCTTCCTAATTCATTCTATGAAGATAGTACTACCCTGATACCAAACCAAAGGCGGTACAGAAAAGAAAGTGCAGACCAAAATCCCTCATGAATATAAATGCAAAATCCTTAACAAAACACCGGCAACTTATAAAAATTACACACTATGACCAAGAGAAGTTTATTCCTGAGATGCAAGGCTGGTTCAATTTTTTTTTTAAAGATGGAAATTAATATGCTAAAGAGGAAAAATCATAAGCATCTTATCAGTTAAAGCAGAAAAAAAATCAGTCAAAATTTGATATGTATTCATGATATTTATTCAGAAAAGAAAGGGAATAGAAGGAAACTTCCTCAATTTGGTTAAGAGCATCTACACAACTAACATCCCACTTTATGGTAAAAGTCTGGAAGCTTTCCCCCTATGATAAGGAAAAATACAAAGATCACTCTCTTATTTAACAAAGTTCTTGCCAGTGCAATAAGACAAGAAAAGGAATTAAAGGTATACTGATCATAAATAAATAAATAAATTGTCTCTATTTTCAGATGACACAATTGTCTATATAGTAAATCCCAAGGAATCTGCAAAAAAATTCCTAGCACTAATAAGTGAGTTCAGTAAGGTCACAGGATAAAGACAAACATACATAACTCAATTGTATTTCTACATATTAGCAATGAACACCTAGAAACCAAAATTAAAATACAGTGTCATTTATAATCACTCCAAAAAATGAAATACTTAGGTGTGAATCTAATAAAACAAGTATAGGACTTTTATAGAAAAACACCCCATGTTGATGAAAGAAATCTAAGAGGATCTAAATAAATGGAGAAACATAGCATGTTCATGGATTATAAAACTTAACATAATAAACATGTCAGTTTGTCCTAAATTTATATACAGGTTTATGCAATTCCTATCAAAATCTCAGCAAGATTTGTTATGGATATAGAGAAGATTATGCTAAAAACTATATGGAAAAGTGAAGGACATAGAAAAGCTAATGCAGTTTTGGAAAAGAATAAAGTGGGAGGACTCAGTCTACTTGATTTGAAGCCTTACTGGATAGCTACAGTAGTCAAGACTGTGTGGTATGGCCGGAGAGGTAAACACACAGATGAGCAGGCCAGAGTAGAGAATCCATAAATAATAGATCCACACAAATATGCCACAGCCATTTTGACAAGGTGCAAAAGCAATTCAATTTTCAACAAATGGTGTTTGAGCAACTGGACATCCACAGACAAACAAACAACTGAAAAGCAAATAAACATTGACCAAAACCTCACACCTTATACAAAAATTGATTGAAAATAGACCACAGACATAAATGGAAAATATAAAACTATAACATATTTAGTGTAAAACAGGAGAAAAATCTTTGAGCTCTAGGGTTAGGCAGAATTTTTAGACTTGACAATGAAAGGAAAATCATTAAAAGGAAAAATGGATAAATTGGGTTTCATCAAAATTAAAAACATTCATTCTGCATAAGACTCTGGTAAAAGGATAAGACAAGCTACAGAGTGGGAGAAAATATCTGCAAACCACATATTGACAAAGTACTAGTATCTCCAACATATAAA